AAATCTGTATGAAAAGAAGAGGATTGGAATACATCCCTGTTCAGCGGCAAAGAAGTTACATGCTTTCATGAGAAGGCTACCAAACTCCACTGGCTGGGGTTTTCATGTAAACTTCCATCTCCCCACATGGCCAAAACAGAACGGACCACCAGTTCAGTCCACACAGAATTTGAAACAGGTGGCACAAGTATTATTCACTTATTATAAAGATAACCAATTTTGAAAATTAATATATTTTTCTGCAGAAACTAAAAAACCAAACGTACCAACTCACCTCACATAACACAATGTGCGAAATAGAAGAAAAAAAAAACGTAAGTGAAAGCCTTGTCATCTTAAGTATAACTACTCCGTAATATCCATTTCATTCTAAAAGGCAATGATGATAGAATATTATAGCATTTTTGCACTTCAGCACATACAAGCTTACACATCCCAGGGAAATTGTACAAACCAGTCTAAACATAATTTGCTTTAGAATTTAACAGTTTACCCAAGAACTGCATCCTGTATTTGCTGAATTTTAGTAATATCAAACAGCAGATTTAATAACAACTTTGTTAACAAATGCTATCTCACGGTCAATGCTACAGTTTTAAAAGACCAAAGCATCACCTGCCTTCTAGCTAAATTTTAGAAGGAAAAAAATAAATCCATGTTAAGGACTGCTATAAATTCCATTACAAATTTGCAAAAAGCCACTCTATTTTTTTGCCGCCAGACAGATTAATTAAACCGGAAGCATCACCTATTCTTCGCTCTGCATTAGTATTCCGATCGTGTGATTAAAATAAGAACACAAAACATTTCTTTTGCTGTTCAAGGGATTTAGTCTGCTTTATGGACTAATATCCTACTGATTTAGAATAACTACATAGAGGTATTTATTACTTTTACTCTATAGGTTTTTTTTATTTTACTATTTCCTTGGGAGATGGAAGAAGGTATTTGAAAGCAATTCAAAAAAAACAAATTTAATTGCCTCCAATTTATAACTTATATCTAAATTTGCACATGAAAAATAAATCCTATTGAGAGAAAAGGTCAAGATAAATTAAGAATGGAAATGTTTCCGTCTCCCAAAAATTACTCCAGAAAACAAAACCTGATACTATCATGAGGTTGTCAAAAACAGATTGTAGAAGCACATTGAAATCTGCGTATGGAGAGGTATTGTGTGCATCTGTAGAGAAACGTTCTGCACATCTAACAGACCTACAGTTAAGTTTCCACAGCACACAGGACCCCTTCCCCCAGCGCTCTACTAATAGACACCGCTGGCTGCTCCAAGATACCTGGAAGAATGAGGATTCAGAGCTTAGTTTGCAGGACAAACCCAGGGCCACTGTAGAGCCTCATCACACTGATTTTTTTTTTTTTCCATAATGATAGTAATTAGTTTTTTTAAGTAGATATTAGCCTACTTTTAAGAAAAATGGTTGAAAGACATGTATAGTTATCAATTGACAAGAGTATTTTAAGAACTTTATGCGCTCCTGACCTAGAAATACAAACTACATATACATCTTTTTCAGATTATCTGCGATAAAAGTAGCACAATTAATCCAGAACAATAAAACACTATGCTTAAAATCATTTTATAGGAATGGTCAAGATCTGAGCTTTTAAATGGAATAGATTATGTGCAATGAAACTCATTCTCTATTTGTCTGAGGAAAAGCATAATAAAAACTGAAAACAGATGACTGCTTACTCAAGAGCCTGGGTTTGTTCTTTGTTTTGCTGTTATTCTATCCCCCTTAATAAAGTTCAAAGTGATGGTGTGGAATCAGTTGAGTAGTGGTTTGTATTTAATAATTAAACCTTTTCAGCACGAGAAAGCAGTAAACATCAAGGTTCAATACAGAAACAAAGTGCCAGTACTTTTCCAAATCCTTTGTGAGAATTAATTTCTCATAGCAGATGAAGGCACTTTGAAATTTTAACTTCTTAAAAAATCTGCTTTCAGCATAAGTGATTTTCTGTTATAGACTGGATAATTTTTAAAACACACTATCAAAACCATTGCTAATAAACCATGAAGGAACACTACAGATCATTCGTTTCTCCCAACAAAGTTTGGCTACAAGATGCCACGATCTAGCATAATCTGATGTCATGGACAGCACATCCGAACAAGCATATGCGATTCAGGCATCCGATTTTCTTTGGATGTTCCAAACGTTTAGAAAGTTAAGCAACTGACTTTCTTCAGTACTTCTAGAACTTCTACTTTGATTTGTCAGCAATATAGACTAGGAATAAAAAATTACTGTTATGCTTACACTTTTTTAAACAAGGCTCGGAATAAGCCTTGCTGTACATTGAGTTAGATGTCCAATAGTTGTGACCATAAAACCATCTACTTTTTTCTCCTGAAGCCTCTAGGCAGCCATCATCTCATCATATTCCCCAGACACTAATGGCTATCCCATTGCCTGCCAAAAGGTTTTACTTGTTCTTACCCTCATGTCTGAACGTGTATATTAATCACATGATTGCATATGTACACTCAGCCACACAGACATCACCAGCCATGGGATTAATCAAGGTTATTTGCACAAGCACCAAGCCATACACAGCACATGCAGAGCTGAGCACGTTTTCCATCTTTTTGGAGGGCTAAGCAGTTCTGCCCCCGAAGAGCATGTGCTTATGAAGCTCCTCTGTTAAAAGCTTAACTGCAGGGATGATAACTAGGCACCACCATTAAGAAGCACATTCTGTGCTGAACACTAGAATGGTTTGAAGACAGGAGCTTCCAGTAAATTGTAGATAATAAACTATTACCCAGATTAATCCAATTGGATTTACTATCTTGCCTTGGGCTTAGCTCATCAGTGAACTCCCTCAATTATTTCTAGCTATTATTCCAAAATAATTTTTAAATACACCACAACCCTTCTCAAAAGCAGCAATCTTTGAGGCCAGCCACATTAACGAAACCACACAGTCCATTTTCAGCTACAGAATATACCATTTCCTCCTTTTATTATAATAAGTGTTCTCTAAAGGTGAGCTTTTATAGTACTTCTGAGCTGTTTAATGACTTGCTTTCTAAAGGAGATGGCCTCATCAAACTCCCAGTTTTAGCATACCAGTTCTCAAATGCATTGCCTCTTCTACCTTTGTTCTAACTGGTCCAGAACCGTATTATACTAACTAATTAGTGAGATGCACGTGCCGATGGTCCCAAAGAATCACTTTGGGTACCAATTATACCTAGCCATTACCTCTCAACTGCTGCACAAGTCAAATCTTTCTAGAACTGCATGCTCTCTAAATCAGCTACAGGTCCTTGGCAAGCACTCAATCTTCTTTTGTTCCACTATGACACTTGTTCCCTCCTCCATGCACTTCAGTTTCAGCCTAGAGAGCAGAAAAACTGTTGGAAAAAGCAAGCATTATTTTCATTTCATATGTCAGCATGGAAAAAGAGGAAAATCCCAAACTCTCAACAACTATACCACCTTAAGTGGAAGGCCAACATGTCTCCACCATCCACCAGAGTGATGTGCAACTGTTTAAAGCTAGTTAATATATGATTAGATGCTTTTAGAGAGAAAGAATAAAATATGCACCATGTCAGAAAAATTAGAAACAAGTCTGAAAGTTTAAGAAAAAACATTACTTCTTTAGAATAAGATTGTAAGCCACTTTCACCTACACTGCTAATGACTGAAGTACAACCAACTTAAAAGTTTTTTGGAAGCATTGTACCAACAGGGCAGGAAAATAAGCAACAGGTACAGCAGTCCAGAGTAGTTCCAGGAAAATCTATAGTGCTAACTAGATTCCACCTCCAGAAACACTGTTAGTGGATCTGTCTAGGACTCCAGGAAGCCAAGATTTTCACCTCAGGACAGCTGTCAAAGACAAGTAAAAAACATGCAATCTTTATGCCCTTAGTTGGCTACAGGAGAAGATCTCTAGTATTGACATTTTGGCCTGTAATTTCCCACATAAACACATATATGCGACTAATCCAGTCTACTCAAGTTATTTACTATATACAGACATTTTTATTAAGCAATAATGGAAGAAAAGATGTTTGTTTGTTTTGTTTTATGTTAAAGTTCAGAAGACACAGGAGCATGGATTAGACTAAAAAATTTTATTGAAACTTGTCCAAAAACCAGTCAGGCACAAAATTTATCCGTTCCACTAAGGCTTGTCATTCTGTATGGCATAGAAAAATGCATCTCAACAAGTTGAAACATCAAGCAACTAAATTAGTGAAGTTAAGGCACTTGAGATGTGTGTTAATTTAGCAAAATTGCATAAAAATAACATTCTACTTTGAATGATAAGAGTCCTTTCTGAGATTCAATCTAAAGCGTCCAAATTCTTGGAGACAGGGGAGAGGCAGAAGCAGGAGACAGAAGTCTCATCATATTTTCCTCTGACTAGTAACCGCCAAGGCCACCACAGCCTATGGAAGGAAGTATTACTGAATCAGGCTGCAAAGATTTCCTGTAGTACACGTGCTGAACTACACAACAGTTTGGGCTGAGGCACAGTGTCTTCCACTCAAGAACCCTTAAGGCAAAGTATCTTTGTGAGATGAGAGGACAAAAGGAGAGAACAAAAAGCACATGCACTCAATTGTAAGGCTAACAAATCTTTCCTGGGGTAAGAATATTTATCCTGGGATTAGATACCTCTGCCCACTCCCATATCCTCCCCAAGGATAAAAACTTGGGAGAAAATAAATGGAGAATGCAAGAACTTACATAGTGACCAAAAATCTGATACCTGTTGGGTTTGTCAGGGCTCTGAGCAGTAATTTGAAAGCCACTTAGCAACCTTTAATTCATACTACAGATAGCTAGTTACCTTCCTACTTTTGGTTTGTATTTTTGAGTGTTGGTTTAAGTATGAGTGTTGGTCAGTATAACAATATTTTTTTCGGCTCTGAGCCAATGTTTACAACTTAAATGCTGGAGTTCAGCATTTGGCAAAGAAAGTTTTTAATGAATAATTGAATTAATAACTCAGTTCTAACTGTTGAAAATTCTCCCTTCATCTGTGAAACAACCTCTTGCATCATACAGCAGTTAAGTACTCTTCTTAAAAATGAGATACAGGTTTAGGATATGCACATTCCACACCGGAATTTGGAGTATGGTCCAAGGGTCACGCACAGACTGAAGGAAAAGATTTCCAGGTACATGAAGATGTTTTCTCAACCATGGCATGACAGAGAAGCTATCGTCACCTGCTATGCACAAATAGGAAATAAAGTGATAAATATTTGAGGGAAAAAGAAACATATGGAGAACAGATTATCCAACTGAATTTAAAGTACTGTTTCTAGTTAGTCTATGGAAATGTAGTTCTAAGCATTAAGTTCTGAATTTCACTAGAAGTGAGTTGTTTAAGAAGATGTAAAGCTTATGAAAAAGAGATTGCATCTTAATGCTCTGTGTCCTTCAGAGCAAATTGCTTGTTATATTTAAGGCACTGCATGTCGTCTTTGGTTCAGTGTTTAACTATCTCATTCAGTGTAAAGAGAGGTAGCATGAACCATACATATTTAGCTCTTCCATTCCATAACACGCAATTTCAGAGTCTCCACCTTTCTGATGTTACAGATTCTGGAATCCTTTAACTCATTAGGAAACTGCAGGAACAAAATAACGAAAATTCTTATTAATTTTATAACAAACAAAGGTGTGCAACATTCCACTTAGCTTTCAAATATGCCAGGAAAATCAGAATGAGAAACTGGGCCTGATGCAACTACAAGCTGTGGAAAAGTCACTTAAAAGCGAGTCTTCTAGTAACTCAAAAGCCAAGGCAACCACATCTTACCTACAACAAAGTTAGCAGAAGTACATAAGACCATTGCATAGACCAGAATAAAAGCTGAGCAGTTATTAAACAGGGAATAAGTTCAGCTCTCCTCTGGTCTTGAGAAAAGTCTTTATGAAATAACAAGTTTCATTTAGATATTTTTCAATAAGACCTGACTTCTCATAGAAAGGGTGTAATATTTGCCTATGGGATTAGCCTTCCAGACAAGTTAAACTCTTTGCAGAAGCTGAGATGGTTAGAAGCTCGTCCCTCAACATGTATTTATTCCTTCAAAATGCATATAACCTAGTAAAAACAGACAAGATATCTGTACCAATCATATATATATATATATATAAAGCAGTCAATTAATAGGCTAAACTCTTTACAGAAGCAATCCCAAAATGTATGCAGCTTTAAAGCATCAGCCATCCTCCTTGTTCGCACAAATAGGGATTAATAATCTAGATGTATGAATATGGAGGAAGAAAAAAGTAGAAAAAAAGAGAGAAACTTGCTTTCAGTATAAGTTGGCTGAGATATCACTATGAAAATAGAAATCTTTTATAATATGTAATGCATGAAAAGGAGAATATCACAATCTTTCCTTTAGCCAGACTGAAAAATCGTGATATCCACCAAATACCGTTATTTCTGGTGATTATATCGACCAATATTGCCACTCTTTAAGAAGCAAGTGGAGCATTTTTAAAAGAGTATTTCCCAACAAATTAGATTTCACAAAATAGGCCCTTTGCCTATTTCTCCGTTCTGGTTTATATTAGTATTACCAGACAAGGAAATACCAGTCAGCA